TCCCTTCCCAATACCATTGGCAACTTGAGAAGGCTGGAGCATTTCAGTATAGCTCACAACTCAGTAGGCGAGTTGCCTCCGGAAATCGGCTGCTTGAATGAGTTGAGAATTCTGGATGTCAGAGGGAACAACATTAGGAAGTTGCCAATGGAGTTGTGGTGGGCAAACAAGCTTGAGACTCTCAATGCCTCCTCGAATGTGCTCGAAAATTTCCCGAAGCCAGCCTCACGTGCGCCTCAAATGCCCGGCGAGCCGTCAACCTCACCTGCTCCGAGCAATAAAGGACAGACAGGACTCCTATCTTCCGCATCTAGCTCCGAGGATCTCCTCCCTGACGGGTCGCGTCGGCCTAGTCAAGCATCGAGCACATTGCTTAGCGTCGGGCCTTCACCTGTCCCTTCTGGTGCAGACAGGAAGAGCTCTGTCGTTTCCGTCTACGGCAAGGGGGGGCGGAAGACTTCAGTTGTATCACGAACAACGACCGCTAGTAGCGTCAACGGGACTGCGACACCTGCTGCTGCAACGTCGAGAAAAGATTCCGGGCTTTCTAACCGGTTAACTAACACGTTCGCCGGTTCGTTGAGAAATTTGTATCTCGCTGACAACCAGCTCGATGACGAAGTATTCGAGCAGATTACACTCCTGGCTGAGTTACGCATCCTCAACTTATCGTACAATGACCTCAGCGACATGCCACAACGCTGCATCAAGAACTGGCCCCAGCTTGTGGAATTGTACCTGTCAGGCAACGATTTGACCTCTTTGCCGGTCGATGATCTGGAGGAGTATAGCTTGCTTCAGGTACTCCACATCAACAACAACAAATTCACTAACCTTCCGGCGGATATCTCTCGAGCGAAAAAATTGGCTGTATTGGATTGCGGAAACAATTCTCTCAAATACAATATCTCAAACGTGCCATATGATTGGAATTGGAATCTGAATCCGAATTTGCGGTTTCTGAATTTGTCAGGAAACAAACGTTTGGAAATCAAACAGACAAATCTTGGTCTAGGGGGCCTGAACCGCGAGCAGTATACAGACTTCAGCCGATTGCTTAATCTGCGTGTTCTTGGGCTGATGGATGTCACCCTAACTCAACCAAGTATTCCAGACCAAAGCGAGGATCGCCGTGTCAGAACGTCTGGCTCATTAGCTGGTCACCTACCATACGGTATGGCTGACACGCTAGGCAGGAACGAACACCTTTCAACCATTGATCTAGTAGTACCACGATTCAACTCTTCGGATTCTGAGACCCTTCTGGGCTTGTTTGATGGCCAGGCGCTTTCCAGCGGTGGCTCTAAGATCGCCAAGTACCTTCACGAGAACTTTGGGCACATCTTCACCATGGAGCTCAAGGCTTTGAAGACTCGACAGAACGAGACACCAGTTGATGCTTTAAGACGGGCATTTCTATCCTTGAACAAGGACCTCGTGACTGTGGCCATCGAGCATACTGAAAAGAGGCCGTTGATGTCGCACCGTGGTTCGTCAGCACCAGTCGTCCTCAGTAAAGAGGACCTCAATTCCGGGGGGGTTGCTACCGTCGCGTACCTTCAAGCTCAAGAGCTGTATGTTGCCAATGTTGGTGACGCGCAGGCTATGCTCATTCAATCCGATGGTTCGCATAGGATCCTCACTCGGAAACACGATCCTGCTGAGCCGAATGAGCGTCAAAGGATACGGGATGCTGGAGGTTGGGTATCGCGTCAAGGAAAGCTGAACGATTTACTGGAAGTCTCGCGTGCTTTCGGCTACGTGGACCTGATGCCGGCCGTCCAAGCAGCCCCTAATATCACCCAGATTTCGATAACGCCACAGGATGAAACAATCATGATCGCCACGAAAGAATTATGGCAGTATCTCCCCCCTGGACTGGTAGTTGATGTCGCCCGATCAGAACGTCATGATCTCATGCGCGCTGCGCATAAGCTACGAGACCTTGCCATCGCTTATGGCGCAACCGGGAAAATCATGATCATGATGATTAGCGTGGCTGATCTCAAGCGACGTCAAGAACGTTCAGCTCGATTACATAGAGGGCAGAGCATGTCCCTTTATCCCTCGGGCGTCCCAGACGAGTATCAATATCCGACCAAGCGAGGTAGAAAGGCCAAGGGCGAGGTTCAAGACTCCACGCTACACAGACTCGAGGCTGAAGTTCCTGCCCCTATTGACAAGCCTTCTATCGTTTTCACCGACATCAAGAACTCAACTAATTTGTGGGAGACGTATCCTTCAGCCATGAGATCAGCGATCAAACTTCATAACGAGGTTATGCGGCGGCAACTTCGGAGAATCGGCGGGTACGAAGTCAAGACGGAAGGTGATGCTTTCATGGTCTCCTTCCCTACCGCAACATCAGCGCTATTATGGTGTTTCGCCGTTCAAACCCACCTGCTCAATGTAGACTGGCCTTCGGAAATCCTTAACTCGGTTTCCTGCCAAGAGATGTATGACAAGGACAACAACCTTATCTTTAGAGGTCTATCAGTCAGAATGGGCATCCATTTCGGTGAGCCGGTGGCCGAAATCGATCCTGTCACGCGTCGTATGGACTACTTCGGTCCGATGGTGAACAAGGCTTCTCGTATATCTTCGGTGGCCGACGGCGGTCAAATTACTGTATCAGCAGATTTTATCTCGGAGATTCAGCGTTGCCTTGAGACCTATCAGGAAAACGACCGGACTGGGTCTACAGGTTCCGACGATACCTTTGATGATGATGCAACTTCGTCGGCAATCAGAAGAGAGTTGAAGTCGCTTAGCTCACAAGGTTTCGAAGTCAAGGAAATGGGTGAGCGGAAGCTCAAGGGCCTTGAGAACCCTGAGTACATTTACTCACTATATCCACATGTCCTCGCTGGCCGCATCGACCACCATAACAATGCGGCTATATCCTCGGAGTCCGCCGACAAGCCTGCCACGCTTCAACCCGGGAGCGATATCGGATTCGACCCGGAGATTGTTTGGTCTCTCTGGAAAGTTAGTTTACGCCTAGAGATGCTCTGCAGTTCTCTGGAAGAGATGTCTGGTAGCGGCTTACAACCTCCCGAGACCGAGCTGTTGGAGCGGATGAAGCAACGCGGCGGCGAGATCACAGAACGGTTCCTATTCAACTTCATGGAGCACCAAGTGAGCCGTATAGAGGTATGTATTTCCGACCTTCGGAATAGTCTTCCGTTTAGATATGCTGACCATTGTTGCAGACTTGCGTGTCTACACTTACAATGCGACACATCGCTATGGGTAGTGGCCCAATCACCTCGCTAGACGATCTCCGCACGCCAATGAATGTTATTCTGGATAACCTTGCTATCCAACTGGCTGAGCTCGAGAGATACAAAGCCAAATACGGCGAGCTCAGTTCTGACAGCGAAGACGAAGAAAGCGGCTCCGACCAAGAATGAACCTAATCAAAGCTACGTGTGCGACAGCATTCTCACTACCCGCTCTGCTTCCCGTATACTATACCGGGTCTGCAACGTAGATACGCATTTTCAAATCTGCCATCTCCTTACGCTCTCATTACACGCGTTCGACCAGGGCTGCAACCGTCTTTCTATATACAATAATGTGCTACGACGAAGATATCGCTACGACGACTTCGGGAGAGGGCGGGGTTGACTGTTTTCATCTAGAATTCTGGCGCGGGTGGTTGACTGAAATGTGGACGACAATGCCCTGCGAGCAACCGGGGAGGCCCTCACAAAACCAGGTGTCCACGACTTATGGACTGTTCTTTTTGGACTATTCAAGAAAAGTGTGCTTTTGAAAATGAGCTCGGTGCTGTTATTATCATCATTATTTGGGCATGGCATTGGGTTGTACAGGCAGGCATAATTAGCTAGGCTGTCGTTGCTGCTGTTGCTTTCATCACGCAGACGTTGCCGCGAGTTGGCGTTATATTCTCCAGGAGAGGGGAAGGGAGTGAAATTTGGATTACGGGAAAGAAACGGGAGGATGGATTGATTCCCTCTTTACTATCCATGTTATCTGTACCGGGGTTTTTTCATGGGGTATTGGCGTCGGTGCCGGTGGCTCAACATCAATACGGCTGCTGGCTGGCACACGCATTTGTCTCTGTCTCCGATACACAATATTCTAGCGCATAAAAGGGTTGGCGACTTCGAGTAGGTAGCCGACAGACGAGCCACCGTACTGCCTCTCCATTGCTTGGGGTGGGCAGTAGGGGGTTGCTGATTCAATGACCTGTATTTGACCTTACTGCTGGTTCTTTTATCCAGTTTTTTGAGATATGATGTGATAGGGGTGTATGATTTTTAATATTGTAGTCTTCTAGATAAAAAACGATTGACTGTTAATGCTGAGGAATACTGACACGAGTATAGCAATCATGAGATGGTCGGTTGCTGAAAAGTATATGTTAAGTAGAATATATGTAGATACCCCTTCCCCTATCAGTGACATCTGTCTGGTCCACAGATATTCCCATAGCTCATCCATATCCTCGTTCAATATTCTCAGGGGATTCCTAGGTATGCTTATCAATGATATGTCCCGCCGTATCAATCACATTCCCGTTGCCTAGCTCGACTTTCTAGTAAACCATGAGCTGATTATATTGGTGCCGACGTGACTACAAAGCTTCTCAACACCAAGACCTAACTAGACAGCTAAAGGCCCATGTCTTGGAGGGAAGCGCACGTCAACTCGTATTCCACCACGTATTCACGACCAGGACTTAAATTGTAACTTTGGTGAATATAAGTTACGACGGTGCTGCACCCCAATGTGTCAAGCTACATGCATCAGTTACCTACCTATGTAGGCACCTAGGTGGGTAGGCAGTCAAGAAAGTTGTTCGAATCCGAATGGAAAACATCATAGTAAAACCAAGATAGCATAGAAAGACATAATGAATACGTAGATACATACCCAGCTTACCCAGGTATCCAAGTAAAGAAAAAAAAAAAGTTGTCCCCAGCACGGCGTGAACCAAAGACCTCGCGATCCCAGAAACGAAAAAAAAGGATTGCATCCACCGGGGTTTGCACCCGGGTCTCTCCCTGTCCGGCGTGGGAGGGGAGTGAGCTAAACTACTGCTCCATGGATGCCTTTGCGCCTGTCCGATGAACGAGGAGCTGTCTATTCGATCTTATAAGGGCTCTGGCGAGTGGGAAGGAACGTGCCAAACGCGTGAAAGGCCGTGACGCGTCTTGGAATCTGCACCACGGTTCCTGCCTAATCTGCACTTTCGTCCACCATCTATCCATAGTGCAAACGCGAAGTCAGCTGAGACCTTGCTGTGGACGTATTCCATCTCAGCAAATAAGCTGGTGAGGTACGCGGCTTGCCGTATCTCAGGGGCTGCCTACATACATACACACATAACATATGTAGCGGCTGCCTGCTTAAGAGGCCAGCCACATCTGCATCTCACATCCATCCCATTGGATCTTACCCATTCACACAAGCAGGCACAAACACGCGAATAATTCTTGTGCCATTCCTTTATCCCTATATTCTTTATTTCATATCCTCAAATTCCTAAACGAGTGATGCTATGCTATGCTATGCTATGCTATACTATGCTACGCCATTTTATGCCGACTTAGATTACCCAATAATAGATCAAAAGGCTGAACGGGGTATATCGATTTTGTATCGCTCACATTGCTCATAAGAAAATCTCCCACAACATCAACATGTGGTCTCCAACGTTGGTGTAGATATCATCTAAATCGTCCAATAGGAGAGCGTGGGGTAGATGGATCCAGTCCATCCCGCATCCAATCCCCAGTCCTGCTTGCTCTCTCCATCCCGCTCAGCCTTGCCACGTCACTTGTGCACACCGAGATAGACATGCCGCTATCCCGACACAGTATGCCGTGCCGTACAATACAATCGAAGCTTGAAAGCTCTCACCCCTTAGACATGACTGTACAACAAGGGCAATGGTGCCCAAAGCCGAAATACCAATACCCAAAGAGAATATAGGGGGTACATGAAGAAGGTATGCGGAACCAATTCAAAGCGGGGATACTTAAACAAGGCGTTCATGTCGAGAGTAATCAATCGCGCCGAAGAATAACCAAAATTTACTCCCATGGCCGATGTAGGCCTCACCTCCTGGCCAACGCTCTAAGGAGTCAAGTGCCGGTGAGCTTCCTCCACCAGCTGCTGCGGGGCGTCGAGTCGGTGAAGAACGACTCGCGCGGCCCTTCCCTACCATTACCACTGCCGTCCGAACCGCCCAAACGACGATCTCTACGATCCCGTTCGCGATCCCTTTCATGTCTTCGATCTCTTACATCACGACGCTCTCGTTCCTCACGGTGGTCGCGGCGACGTCGTCGATCATCCTCCATCTCGGCATCGACATCGCCATACTTCGCACGACGACGGGCAGCTCGACGGGCGGCACGGCGCGCCTCCTCATCATCCTCGGGATGCGGGTCGTGAACAGGACCGCCATCCTCGGGAGGGGGGCCGGCATCTGAGTGTTCCTTCACCCAAGAATCCGTGCCAGAATGCGGCCACGCAGCAGGCCTGCTTCGCCTGCGATCGTCGACCGCATATTTTGAACTTCTCTCCTGAGGGTAGACGTAGTCATCAACCGGCATCGTACGTCTGCGACTAGCCCTTTCCTCGGTACGTCTGGCTTCGTGCCTCCTTCGTCTACGCTCTTCGTCATCCTCAGAAGCCTCGGCGTACCGCTGTCTTCGTCGTTCGGCACGGGCAGCGCGTCGAGCTTCAGCTTCCGCCTCTTCGGCTGCGGCAGCTTCCTTTTCTTGTCTTCGAATGCGACGTCGTTCGGCTCTTTCGGCTTCTTTGGCTTCAGCGGCAAGGCGCTCCGCCTCTTGTTCTCTGGCGGCTCTGCGCTCAGCCCGTCGGGCCTCGCGGTCAGCATGTCTGCGGGATTCAGCTTCCTCTTCCTGCCTCCTACGTCTTTCGCGTCTCTCTTCCTCTTTCGCAAAACGCGCTTCCTCGGCAGCCTTCTCCTCAGCCCGTCTAGCGCGGCGCGCGGCGCGACGAGCTTCCCTTTCCTCGTCCATGGTATCGGCATCAACAGCACGATAATCCCGTGAAGATCGCTTGGCTCTCTTATCAGGCCGAATATCATCATCTGTAGTATAATACGTGCTGCGACGTCGAGGTGGTTCGGGGCGCATTTCAGCGCGAGGTGCGGGCTTGAGTCCCCCAAACAGACCGGCAAGCCCCTTCTTAGCGCTCGAGTTCGATCGCTTGAGGGTCGCATCGACAGGGAATCCTCCATCAGCCATCATAATGTCATCTTCGGTCTTGGTCTAATCTCAAGTTAGCGACATCCGCGTCTTGGTACGTGGGCATGACCTTACCTTTGATCGCTTGCGAGCCGTTCTCTCGGGACTCGGCGGAACATCACCGGCTCCAGTCATGACAATATCCTCTTCGTCCAAAAAGCGCGCGTTTGAGGTCTTGCGACTGTGATTCCGTTGGCTCTTATCGACACCAAAGACTTTCGCAGCCTTAGAGGACATGGCGGGTATTTCTTCCGGTGGCGGCGACACTAGACCACTTGTCACTTCAACCGAATGACGACGCGAGCTAGCTTTAGTTGCGCCGTGGCGCTTCTCCCGTGTTGACATGGAGCGTGAAATAGGAGGAGTGCTCTGGAATAGACTGGTTGTGCGCGGCTTGGGGATTGATGCCGACTTGTTCTCTCGGCGTTCGTCAGTTCTGGCATCTCTATCCGACGACGAACCCTTGGAGGATGATGACTTCTCTTTCTCCCTCTCTCTTCTAGGCCTCTTTTCCTCGGTCTTCACCTTAGACCTCTTCTCCTCTTTCCGAGGTGACGCCGACCACATTCCCCATGGTGCGCCAGCATCGCGGTTGATCTTTGCCCGCTCCTTTTTCGAAGATTTGATCTCGGGAGGAGGTGTCGGGGGCGCATCGGGAGATTCGGGCGCATCAGGGGCAGCTGGAGGAGGAATGGGTACTTCGGGAGGCGGAGGTGGCATAGATACCGCTGGGGGTGGAGGAGGTACTCCCGCTGCCTTGGATTTACTCTTCTTGCCTTTCTTTTTCTTCTCTACGGGCGCCATGTCAACGATTTCGACGATATCGTTCTCGTCTTGTTCATCTGGGAAAGTTCCAGGTAGTAAGTCTCTGGAAGATCTTTCCTCATTGGGTGGCGCGGCAGGAACACGTGGTGGCGGCGGAGGCGCAGCCAGCGCATCAATCAGATCATCGTCATCCTCTTCTTTGGCTGGCTCAAATTTCCTAAGCTTCTCGGAGAGTTTACTGCCCTTGGCCTTAGTCTTCTTTGGTTTCATCCAATCGTCGTCAGTCGTGGCAGCCTTGTAGGATGATGGCGCGTCCTCTATGGTCGCATCTTCGAGAACCTTTGATGACTCAGCATACTTGATCTCGGTTGCTCCCGAGCTTTTGGAGCTGCTTACCCGTTCGGGAGATGAGCTCTTGGGTTTGGCTCCCCAGAACGAAAATGCATCAGCTTTGCTTGTGACTGGCGGCGCCTTGGGAACGGGAGATGAGAAGCCCGATAGGAGTTCGTCCACTTGTTCAGGAGCTAGGTCGAGATTATCAAGATCGAGGTCGTCGTCGTCGTCATCGTCGTCATACCTATTATTCTCCTTTTTCTCTTCCTCTTCTCGTTCTCTTTCCTCCCTTTCCCTCTCTTCCCTTTCCTTCTCTTCCCTCTCCCTCTCTTCTCTTTCTCGTTTCTCCCTCTCCTCCCTCTCCTTCTCCTTTCTGGACAGTTTGCTGCTGGATTTGGACTTCTTCTCCTCCGCCTTAGAGCTCTTCTTGGACTTCTTCTTGGCCGCCGCTTCAGCCTCCTCGCGTTCGCGCTTGGCTCGTTCTTCGGCTTCGCGAGCCGCCTCTTCTTCAGCTTCCCTGGCAGCTTGCTCCTCGGCTTCACGCGCGGCTAGTTCTTCGGCTTCTCGCGCCGCTTGCTCCTCCGCCTCTCGCGCCTCCTGCTCCTCTGCCTCTCGTGCTGCTTGCTCTTCTGCTTCTCGAGCTGTCTCCGCCTCAGCTTCCTCTGCATCTCTGTCCGCGTCAAGCGCAGCTTTCTCCTTGGCACGTGCGTTGGCCCTCTCGGTAAGTTCGTCCAGTCTCTTCTGGTCGTTTTTGGTGAATTTCTTCTTTTTCTTACTCTTGGCTGTTAACACGGCAATCTCTGCCTCCTCGGCGGCGATTTCTTCTTCAAGCGCTTCAGCAGCAGCCCTGTCTTCAGCCTCGCGGGCTTCAGCAGCAGCCTTCTCTTCGGCCTCCAAGGCTTCGGCGGCAGCTTTCTGTTCTGCTTCTAAAGCTTCGGCCGCCGCCTTTTCATCAGCTTCTCGCTGCGCTGCTTCTTCAGCTTCCTTAGCAGCCTTGACTTCGGCGCGGCGGGCGGCGTTCTCAAGGAGCTCGTCGAGTCGCTCTTGATCAGCCTTGCTGAGCTTCTTCTTTTTCTTGCTCTTAGCCGTTAGCTTCTTGATCTCTTCTTCTTCAGCAGCAATCTCAGCCGCCAATTCTGCTTCGAAATCGGCTTCGTCTTCGGCTGCGGCTCTCTCGTCTTCTTCAGCCTTCGCTGCATCATCCCAGACGTTTCCTTCGAGTTCTTGTCCGGACAAGCTCATGTTTAACGAAGGGGGTGTAGGAGCTGGAGGCGGCGATTGCTTCTGGCCCTTGTTCAAGTTTCCCCAACCCCATTCCTCAACTGAGTCGGGTTTGACACCGTTAAGATGTGATCCGTCTTCAATCTCGATGGGGATGTTCTTGCTGCCCTTCTTCTTCTTATCTTTCTTTGAGGTGGCAAAGCCCCAGGGGTCATCATTCTTGGGCTCCTCAATCGAGTCTGGCATAAGACTACTTCCAGTCCTGTCTCTGCTAGCACTTAGATTACCCCAGAAGTCGTCGCCATCCGCTGCGTTAGGAGCCTCGGGCACAGCTGGAGGCGCCCCCTGATGTTCTCCTTCACCAGGTCCCTTTTCGATTTCGACCAGGGCATTTTCCACTTGGGCCTTGAGCTTCTTCTTTCCCCAATTAAGCCAGCCGTCGTTTTCTTCGGTAGGCGGTGGTGGAGACTCTTCCTTCGCCTTCTTCACAGGTTTCTTGGTGGCGCCCCAGA